AGACAGATGATAGTCCATGTGGGATGGACTCCGAGTGTATCAACCGCATGCTGCTCTACGAATGCCATCCACAGGTACCGAAACACCTTCATCACTTTTTAGGTGATCATTTAAACCTGTGACTTTTCCTGTGTCCAGGACTCCACACCTGCTTTGTGTGTAAAAAGCGCGGTGAGGACGTGCGGCGCTGCATGATCCCTGTGTGTGGGAAGTTTTATCATGGCGAGTGCATCGCCAACTACGCCCCGACCGTACCCGTGAACAGAGGTTTCCGCTGCTCCATCCACGTTTGCCTCACCTGCTTCATCGCTAATCCCAACAGCTCCAACATCTCTAAAGGTAATCAGAGGACGCTCAGACCGCACCTTCGCTGTAATCACCCGTCTTGCGCCGTGGCATTTACTCTCCACTTTACGTCTACAGGTCGGCTGGTACGTTGCGTGCGCTGCCCGGTTGCCTATCACGCTACAGATCTTTGTATGGCAGCGGGCAGTGTTGTACTCTCCAACAACAGCATTGTCTGTCCTAACCATTTCGCCCCCCGCCGCGGCGTCAAGAATCACGAACACGTGAACGTCAGCTGGTGCTTCGTCTGCACTGAAGGTACAGATGTTAAAGGAAACTCCAGACCAGACTAAACTGGTTTTGTTGCTGAGCTGTTTTCTTCACCTCAGATTTATGTTTTATTTCACCTTACGGTTACGAATTACAGTCAGGTGGAAAATAAAGTACCGGTAAGGTTTTATTTATCAGAATATATTAATAAATCATCTGGTTCTCACGAAGTATTTTAGGAACACCAACACGTGACATATGTCACTGTCATTATTTATTTAACAAAAACTGAACCAAAATCCAGAATTAGTGTATGAAAAACTTAGGAATACCTTTTATTGTTTCCACAAGAACTGAGATTTTTGTTTAATTCATCATCATCGTTGTTTCAAAGGCTAGAGCTGAAGACCAAATTTCTGCTTTAAGGTAGACTTTCAAACTGTTTCAAACTGCTCCAAAAACATGCGAAATCCACTGGAGATGCAGCCTCAACAGGCAGAAAAGCGTTTAGTGAAATACAGTTTTAATACATTTAAAAACATGGACAA